AACAGGCAGCCATACCGGTCTCCTTCCCCGCCACCTCATCATCACCAGGCCCCTCCGACCATGGACTTAACCAAGCTCATAGTCCAGTTCCAGAACTTGCATGCGCCAACCTTCTCGCGGACTGAGAACCCCACTGCAGTACTGGAATGGATTAAGAATCTAGATAAGATTTTCGATGTACTCCCTCTTACGGACAGACAACGTGTGTCTCTCGCCGCTTTCCAGATGAAGACGGATGCTTCCGAGTGATGGATCGGCCACTTGGCTTGGAGGCCAGAGGCTGAGCTTAATGCTCTCACTTGGGAGCATATGAAGGCTATGGCTCGAGGCAAGTTTCTTCCTCAGAGTTTCTGGGATTGGATGGAGCACGAGTTTTATCATCTGCAGTAGGGCAACACCACCGTGGACGAATACATCGCACCTTCACCAGGATGTGTCTCTTTGCTGGCGACTCTGTGAACACTGATGCTAAGAAGGCCCGTAAATTTCTTAAGGGGCTTAATCAGAGGATCCGCGAACTAGTGGGGAGTCACAGAGCGATGTCTTATGCCGACACTGTGCGACGGGCATAGGAAGTGGAGAGCTGTTTAATTCCTATAGCTCCAGTTCCTTCATATTACTATGCTTCCCAGGCTGCCCAAACTTCTATTTAGTATGTTCAGCCCATCTCTTTCGTGCCGCCCGACTCTAGTTTGGGAAAGAGAAAGACAGATTCCCACCGGGATAACTGGAAGGAAAAACGTGGAGCACCAGATCGCCGTGATCCCCAGCCCATGATCCAGGTTCAGCACCCAAAGTGCACCAATTGTGGCCGCCGCCACCCCGGACAATGTCGTTATCAGCAGAAGGTTTGTTTCACTTGCTTGCACCCCGACCATTTCCGCAATGTGTGCCCCGAGGCCCGACCGCAGCAGCAACAACCGCAACAACAGCAGCTTCCACCGCCGCCTCAGCAGCAGTAGGGCTAACTATGGACTCGTGAAGTCGTAGAAACCTCATTTTATTTTCTTAGTTATGCTTTTCTTGGAAACTTTGCAAGCCTTGTTTTATTTCCTTTCGCTGGGCATACTATTTGGAATTGCGTTTGAGATTCCCTTATGTTCAATTTCAGTACTTTGGAATTTTCTTTTACCTTTTCTTCCGTTGTATGGGATGAGATTTCGGATGGAGTTAAGTATTTTAATTTCTTTATGATCCTTATCTATTCTCGTGAATTGAGAACCTTGTGTTGTGATGCCTCTAATTCAGTATGAATTAGGAAGCCAAGAAGTGTTGTTCTACCTTAAAAGATTTTGAAAATCTTTTAAGGAGGGTAGCCGTTCTTGATACAGGCACATCGTGGAGTGCAGAGCCACCTTCACTTTTGATATTCGTTCATTGTAATCTTTGGAAGCTCATTTAAGACTGCCGACATGGTAGCTTTTTGACCGAGAGCTGACGTGACGGCCGACACTGTTAGTCGGAAGAGCCGAATGAGCTAAGCGTTCATTACTCGGTAGTGAATGCTATATTCGAGATTATTCCTGAATGAAGAACCGATCCTTGTTTCTTTTGAGAAGTTTTCCCGACCTCTATCATTGGTTGTCTAGTGGATATTGTGTTGATTTAAGAAGGTGGAGGACTTGGAGCTCGGTTTATGCCTTATAAAGTTTGATACCCTTGAAACTGTTGAAATTGTTTTGTACATAATGGAATCATCTTTAATTGAACCCTAAATTTTGTAGTTTGGGATATTTGGGTAAAACCATTATTCCTTCTGATTACCTTGGAAATTATAAACCGGGGTTAGAGAATTTCCTTTTTTGTACCTCGAACCGAATACCGACCCTGGCTGGGTGTAGCCACGCGAAGTGGTGGTCGAGCATGCACGCCCATGCTGAGAGACGTGAGGCCAACTGCAGTGGCCGACCATTGACTCGCACGAGAGCTGCCGCCGCCATCGCCGAACGCCAAACTCCCCAGGCTAGTGTGTAAGGCCAACTCATTTCTGTACCAAAGGTGTTGAAAAACTCTTGAATATTATCTTTTGAACCTTGAACCGAAAGCTCAAAGTTCCACTGAATCGATGTGTGAATTTCGGGAATCACTTAATTCTCGATTAAGTGAGTGTTGTTAGTTATTTCTTAGCAGTAGAAGGGATGTCCCTCGAGCCGACAGGAATTTGAGGTGCTGCATTGTCGAGCAAAATCTCGAGTCTTGATTGGAGACTATGTAGTCACCGTGGAAATCATGTTGGTACGAATGTCTTCTTGAAGGTCGCACCCGATGGGTGTGGTTCTCGTCGGGAAGAAAGGGGAAGCTTCGGTCTCACTATATCGGACCTTTCAGAATCTCGCACGAGTCAGAGACTTGGCCTACCGGTTAGCTTTACCACATGTGTTATCGGAGTGCGTGACCCCGAACACGTGGTGGACTTCATCGAGTTGCAGGTCGAGCGAGGCCTTACCTATGGGTAGGTACCGGTGTTCGTACTGGACCGGAAGGTTCATCAGCTGAGGACCCGGGCACTCGATTTCGTCGAGGTGAAATAAAACCGGTACGACAAGTCTGAGGCAACTGGGGAGATTGAGGGCGAGACTATAGGAGATATCCGAACTTCATGTTTGAGGTTGTATTTTTAGAGTTTGGATGTTTTTAGTTTCAAATTCCGAGGACGGAATTCCTTTTAAGGTGGGTATACTGTAATGCCCCGTCTATTTGTGAAATAATTGGGAATTATTTAAATTATTATTGCTTTTATTATTAGTATTATTATTATAATTATTTTCTTAAATGTCTAAATGTTATGATTATTATTATTAATAATAATAATAATATTGATATTGCTAATTGCTTTTAGTTGTTTAATCGATTTTATGTGATTAATGTGTATTATTAATAAATAAACTATGTGTAATATTAGTAAATATTATTATGTGTATTATATGTATATAAATATCTCGTTTTATTTTAATTATCGAACGTTCGTATCGAGCCTCGATTGTTTATTATTGATGAACCGAGTTTCGGCCCGAGCCATTCGAACCCGCGACTC